TCTTATTGCAGTTTCCACCTCGCTTTTTATATCCACTTCTATTAAACTGCTGTAGCAAAACTAAAGCAATAATAATAATAATAATAATAATACCAGTAATAAGAAAACTATATTGTCTTTACATGTGTCATTTCTCATAGATAGTTCATGTTATAAAATTGTTATTGATAATACCTTTAGTTATTCAATTTCATATTATTCTGATAAATCAATACAATATAGCTTTCTTATTACTGATATTGTTGCTTTAGTGTTGCTATAGCAATTCAGTAGAAGTGAATATATATGTATAATTTTATGAGCCCTAGTGTTACATTTGTCAGTGAATGGTGCAGTGGATTGGGGATTTTCTTATTTTTAAGAGATAAGGAGCTTAGATGGGGCAAACGCATCAAGAAGTGGCAATATGCAATCCTTAGGTATTTTTAAACTATCCAAACATTTCTGTTTTCCCAGATTATTTTCTAGCTACGCACAGCACTAGCTGCAACATTTTATTCTTACCCTGAGTTTCTTTTTAATTGCAAAGCATATCAGAACAAAAAAAGTATCGTTTTTTTCCTTTCTATTTTCTAATCTTCTTCTTCTTCGTTATAGTGCATCATTGAAATGGCCCTTTTGCACAATAGCACTACAGTTGTAAAATATTAATAATTTAAAAACAAAGAAGAGAAAAATCTGCCCTTCATGTCATGTCAGTAAACCATGCCCTTAAAAAAAAACAAAAAAACTTTAAAAGGACCGTAGCAAAAACATCAGTACAAACAGTACTCCAAAATGGAAGGAGCAGTCACGGAGGGGACAACAACCAGCAAAACCACATCTTCAGACAAATCTGGAAAAGTCCAGGGCTATGGATTCCTGTGACCAAATTGCTGCTGATACAGGAGCAAAGCAAAGCAGGCTTTGTGACTGTTTGGCCTATTTTGAAAAAAAAAAAAAATTGTGGGAGAAATTTGTGTAGTTGGAATACGGTATGACCCCTGAATTCACAAAGAATACTTTCCTGGACTTGTTGTTACCTGCCTTTGCATTGGTCTTGACCCATGGCGGACCTATGGATGAGACTTCTCCAGGACCCCTCAACTGTCCTCTACTGCTCTGCCCAGCTCCTGCAAAATCATATTCACAGTCTCTTTAATAAAGTCCATCCATGAAGCATGGGGCCTTCCTCTCTTTCTACTTCCCTCCACCTTTCCTAACATTATTGTCTTTTCCAGCGATTCATGCCTTCTCATGACGTGTCCAAAGTATAACAGCCTAAGTCTTGTCATCTTGGCTTCTAGGGATGTCTCTGGCTTAATCTGCTAGGACCCATTTGTTTGTCCTTTTGGCTGTCCATAGGATTATCTCAAATGCATTGATTTTCTTCCTATCATCTTTCTTAACTGTCCATATGTTTATATATTTATGCACACACAGACACACAGACACACACATTGCACTCTTCTCCAGCCCACATTCTCTCAAATGCATTGGTTTTCTTCCTATCTTCTTTCTTAACTGTCCACTCTCACATCCATACATGAGAATAGGGAATTCAGTGGCTTGGATGATTCTGACTTTTGTGCTGAGTTGTATATCTTTGCATTTTAGGATCTATTCTAGTTCTTTCATAGTCACCCTTCCCATTCTTCTTAGTCTTCTGATTTCCTGACTGTAGTCCCCATTTCT